TGCAGGCTAAAGTTACTTCTTACTTGAGGCAACATTCTGTCACGTTATATTGTAGCTTTTGTCCCACATGCAGAATCACAAGAAGAACTAGTGAGTTTTAAAATTTTAAATACAAAAAGCTAAATTAACCTGGAAGCGAATAACTGGAGGAAATCAGTTGAACGTTCTGTTGATATGAGGCGTAAAAACAGATGGATCAGGAAAAAGTTGACAACTTATGACTGATGGATTTTCTTTCTTGAGAGATGAAGGGTAGGTTATGGGGCATTATGAGGTAGCATGGATCTGTAGGGGTTTGATTCAGTGGGCTTTGCGGACTGTACACCAGAGGTCCGGGAGAATGTGAGTAAAATCCGAGAGCATTGGTAATTGCAAGAGATGTTTTGCTGGAGAGCGGGCAGGCATGTAATGAAGGCTGAGACTCACACATAAGGAGAATTTAGAGAAGCAATTTTACCTGACAGTCATGTTTTTGGACTATGGAGGGAAGCTGGAGTACCTGGAGATAACCCACACAGGCTCAGGGAGAACATGCAAACTCCATGCAGAAAGATCCCGGGCTGGAAATCGAACCCGGAACCCTCTTGCTGCAAGGCAGCAGTGCTACCCACTGCTGCCTTGAGTGCCATTTAATCAAATCATACAGACAGATGGCTAAAATGCTTTCTATAAAAGGAAACTCGGTAGTTTGCATTAAGTCATTGACTTTTCAGAATTCCTATATTTGGATAATTAACACATATAATCACACAAATCACACTATATGTCACATTCAAACTGAAGCTAAAAAGAAAGCAATGGGTGATATGATTATACTAAAGTTAATAATGTAAATATGACAACATACATCTTTTTTATTTCCAATTAGATATCTCTATAGATATTGCAGTTTTGAGTATTTCCCTATGCCAACATTGACTTTATGCGATATCAGCATTAACCAACAAACTTTTTTTTATTTCATAGATTTTTTTATTTTGCAATATGAAATATAAGAAAAGCTTAGAAAACCTTTATATAGAAGCATAGTGCTTGTATTAGCTTGCCTACATTAGAAACATACATACCTATGCTGATTTTTTGGCTGATAACAGACAAATTTCTGAAATCATTATTAGATCTGGACATCCCTAGATTAATTATCAGGGGTGGAAAGGAGACACTATTCAATTACCTTTTAATGTGACTTTGTCTGTTTTCGTCTTTTATTGCAAAGTAAAAAAAGAAGTTGTTGATCTTCCCCATTTAGAAAAGTCACTCTAAAACCATGCCAAAGTGCACCTAATGCCAAGGAAAATTGAAAGGAAATGTAGAAATGACCCAGATCATGTGCGAGTTTTAGTTATAGGTGTAATGCAATATGGGGCAAAATGTGCTGCGCCGCGGAAGTCTGAATTATCTGAGTGCTTTTCTATTTTATGTTGATATCATATCTGTAACATGTTGACATCTAATATACACTATATTGCCAAAAGTATTTGCTCACCCATCCAAATTATTGGAATCAGGTGTTCCAATCACTTCCATGGCCACAGGTGTATAAATTCAAGCACCTAGGCATGCAGACTGTTTTTACAAACATTTGTGAAAGAATGGGTCGCTCTCAGGAGCTCAGTGAATTCCAGCGTGGAACTGTGATAGGATGCCACCTGTGCAACAAATCCAGTCGTGAAATTTCCTCGCTCCTAAATATTCCACAGTCAACTGTCAGCTGTATTATAAGAAAATGGAAGTGTTTGGGAACGACAGCAACTCAGCCACGAAGAGGTAGGCCACGTAAACTGACGGAGCGGGGTCAGCGGATGCTGACGCGCATAGTGCGAAGAGGTCGCCAACTTTCTGCAGAGTCAATCACTACAGACCTCCAAACTTCATGTGGCCTTCAGATTAGCTCAAGAACAGTGCGCAGAGAGCTTCATGGAATGGGTTTCCATGGTCGAGCAGCTGCATCCAAGCCATACATCACCAAGTGCAATGCAAAGCGTCGGATGCGGTGGTGTAAAGCACGCCGCCACTGGACTCTAGAGCAGTGGAGACGCGTTCTCTGGAGTGACGAATCGCGCTTCTCCATCTGGCAATCTGATGGACGGGTCTGGGTTTGGCGGTTGCCAGGAGAACGGTACTTGTCTGACTGCATTGTGCCAAGTGTAAAGTTTGGTGGAGGGGGGATTATGGTGTGAGGTTGTTTTTCAGGAGCTGGGCTTGGCCCCTTAGTTCCAGTGAAAGGAACTCTGAATGCTTCAGCATACCAAGACATTTTGGACAATTCCATGCTCCCAACTTTGTGGGAACAGTTTGGAGCTGGCCCCTTCCTCTTCCAACATGACTGTGCACCAGTGCACAAAGCAAGGTCCATAAAGACATGGATGACAGAGTCTGGTGTGGATGAACTTGACTGGCCTGCACAGAGTCCTGACCTCAACCCGATAGAACACCTTTGGGATGAATTAGAGCGGAGACTGAGAGCCAGGCCTTCTCGTCCAACATCAGTGTGCGACCTCACAAATGCGCTTCTGGAAGAATGGTCAAAAATTCCCATAAACACACTCCTAAACCTTGTGGACAGCCTTCCCAGAAGAGTTGAAGCTGTTCTAGCTGCAAAGGGTGGACCGACGTCATATTGAACCCTATGGATTAGGAACGGGATGTCACTTAAGCTCATATGTGAGTCAAGGCAGGTGAGCAAATACTTTTGGCAATACAGTGTATAAGCAAAGATCTATGGATAAAGGTATTTGCCTTATCTGAATAAAACTCTGAGGGGTTTCTGTTACCACATGTGTCCATGGCTGGTTCTATACAGGGACCAACAGGTCCTGGCCACTGTTTTGGCCCCTACACTGAAAACAATCACTGCAAATTTTTAAGTCTAAGTAGGTCAGTTTTTTATATTAAGTATAGTATTTCCTTTATTTAGGTAGGAGAATTTTCTATCAGAATAAGATGATTTATGTTTAAAATAAAAAGAATTAACTCTATTATTTTATCTAGTACATTACATCTAGCTACTATATGTTGTTATAAATGTAGAAATACTCATTCTTTCTGCTGATCATCTTATTTACCTTAAGTCAAATGCACGTGTTTTAGGAAATCTTCACTTACTTAGATCAGTTGTTGCCAGAGGTGGGTAGTAACTAGTTACACTTACTAAGTTACATTTACTTGGGTAACATATTTTTATAAAAATGTTACTTTGATGAGTAGTTTTACCGTGCTGCACTTCTTACATTTATTTGCGGAATTTTTTTGTAAAGTATCGCTACTCCTGTTTGAGTAAAATTTGTAACTACTCTGTCCTCTTTGAAGATTTGAACTATTCCAAGATAAGATGAATATACAGTAAAGAGAAGACATTGTTAGTGAAAGTTACTTACCCTGTCCTAACATACTGTATAAACAAATCTCACGTTAAGGATTGTTTTTTTTAAAGTTTTTTGGGGAAAGAAAAATATCTTTTTACAAGTATTTGTTCTGCAATGTTTTTCTTTCATATTCCTAACACGTATTCATATTCTTTATAAATTTTAATCCATAAAATACCTGAACTTGAGCTGCATAATTTCTAAACATTTAATAGGATGTTAGTATCCAAACATTATTCAGTAGCCTGTTGACCAAACTATATTACTTTTACTTGATTAATTTCTTAGATGACTACTTTTTACTTTTACTTAAGTACTCTACCCACCTCTGGTTGTTGCTGTGTAATACTAAATCAATTTTACTTGCACTGGCAGAAGGGACCACCTCTAATTTGTCCCTTTGACAATTTAATATTTTGTGCTTTAACAGTTAATTAGCAATTACAGTCAGCTTTATGCTCCAGTCTTAATTATAGAGGTCACAGTTTTCATCCATTAGGTCAGGGGTCTGCAACCTTGGCTTTGTGGCTGACTTAACATACTAAACAATTCTCCTTTTTTAATATTATTATTCTTTTTTCTGTGCCACATGAAGAAACACGGGCCTCCCCCGGCCCCCCGGTAAATTTTTTCTTGAACCGTCTCTGTATATAGGTCTCTCATTAACTTTCTTCACCACCAAAATAATGTACAGATTAGTTTTTCATTTATTCCAATAGGAGGATAAGAGAAACCAGGCCCAACAATGCAGGTGACCCGAAAGCTGAGCATCCTGACCCTCCATAACACCTTAGCAGTCCCATAGACTGACTCCCTCCATCTCACACCACATTGATGCACTAATTAATACAAAAAGAGGCGTACATATATATTAACATATTTATCCAGAGCCCTTAATTAATTTTTTGTTAGCAATATTATTTTTATTGATCTTATTTGAGGACTCTTTGTGATTCTCCTTTTTTTATATTATTATTATTTCTGTGCCACATGAAAAAACACGGGCCTTACTGCAGTAATTTTTGCAAATGGGGCCCTTACCAATTACAAAGTACATGTATATATTACTTTGTACATATATATATTAACACTTTTAATTAGAGCCCTTATTTTTTGTTTGCAATATTATTTTTATTGATCTTATTTGACATTGTACTTTTCATTGACACTGAATTCTGGACTGATGTTATCTGTAACCTGGAAATTTTCAATTTCAAACATATATGTTTATTTTCCGAAGTGAACATAGATTTTTAATTTTTTCTGTCTTCATATTGTTTTTTAAATGTACCTTCTTCTATGTCATAATAATTTACAAGAAACCATTTTTTTGTTTAATAATACTTTACACAGATCCTTTCCTTTTTTTAAGAGGTCAGACTGAGTTTGTATACCCTGCGCCACGCGCTGATTGGCTTCTCGGGTTTACAGTTATTGACGTTCAGGCGCTCAACATCTGGAAGAAAAGTGAACAGCACCGGACGAAGCTATTCCTCAATTTTCAATCCTTCCAGCCAATCGCAAGGAAGAGGTTATTTAAGGACACGTTGTGATTGGCTGGAACTCTTGTCAGCGTGAAGTGAGGGGGCGTGGCCTTGCGGCTGCTGAAGTGTTGTGATTTCCAGTCGGACTGGCTCCAGTCCTGTCACAGCGGTGTGGGGCGCCTTTTCTCTATGCTTGCGCTCTGGGAGTACTAACTGTTTTCCGAAAACAACCAGCTTCTACAATAACAAGTCCTCTTTTTTTTTTCTTTTGTTGTGACTTGCTCTTTTTTTCTCCGACCTTATAGAAAGACTACAACATACAGTGGAAGTATCGTGGAAATAATAAGGTAAGGGCTGCCTGGCTTTCTAGTTGCGGACGGAGCGGATCTGCCTCAGCTGTGCTGACTTTGCTCATTAAGACTGAAGATGCTCTAACTTTGCACACAGTGGGTCCTACAACAGCATGCTGGGAGCGTTACCTACAGATAATCAAATACCATTCTTTATCTTTAAACTCTGGCCAATTTAAGGATATATATTTTTAATGTTATTATTATTATTAATAGATGTTATTTTCCATGCTCTCCAGTCATCCTGTTGCGCCCAGGCTCAATTGCAGACTTTCTGCAAGCTTTATCAGCTGTCATCTGACAGACATTTGCAGTCTTTTCACCTTTTTATTTTATTTTTGTTGTTGTTAGAAATTAGTTTTTTTCAGTGCCTACATAGATGTTTTTTCACTCCTAGTCTATCATATAATATAAGAACTCTTCACCAGTTATTGCAATCATGCGTTCTCTTTTGCATCTAACACTGCTTTATCAGAAACGTTGATTTTCAGGACAAAGATTTGTTAACTTGTGCAAAACACAGAGCGCAGTGAAAAAGGTGAGGTAAACATCTCAGTCTCGCAGAACGCGCTCATTGCGTAACTCTTCTATGTTGCATTGAAAGTGAACCTTTCTCTCCCACCTTGCCTACATTTTGCATCTTAAATCATGCGAATTCCAGCTGCGGTTTAGTCTCGATGTCAGGATCTCTGGAGGGAAGCGATGAGCTCATTGTTCTAATCTAACAGGTTTCTGCTTCTGCACGCAGAGTTTAACTGCAGCCTGTGCTGGATCTAACTAAAATGCAAACAGAGATTTGAAATATTTTTTAACACCTATATGCATCTGTTACCAACACTTACAAAAGCCGCTGGTGGTTATTTGTCTTGGAATACATGCTTTGCAGTTGCTCTCTGCAGACACACAGCTCTCTGATTTGTCTCAGCCTGTTGTGCATTAGGTGCCTCATCTCCCTCAGTGGGTTTCTTGATTCAGCTGAGGCTGAAACAGTTCAACAGTAAATACATCTCGCTCTTGCACAAAGAGGAAAAACCTCATCTCTACTTTTTTTTTGGTAATAATTGCATTCTATTGACCCAACAGCTTGCACAACTTTCCCAAGCATTTTGCACACACACAAAAAAAAATACTTTAAACTTTGTTTTGATTGAGCTGCAACATTTAGTTTCCAAATGCTCTTTTGTTTTGATTATCAGGTCAGATGTTTAAGTGGTGTCCATGTGGTCAGAGCTTGTGACTTTCTTTTGGTTTAGCTTTGTCCCCATCCTCAGCTGCTGCAGTGACATTGCAGGATGGGGAGGGGGGTGGTGGCACTCCTGGCTTGCGGTTTTCTTACCACACTTGTACAATGACTTTGCACTCTTTGCTGCTCCCAGAGTATTGCAGTGTGGTTTCAGGTTATTCTATTTGACATGTTGCTGGTGTGCTGACAAGTAGGAGTGCTGCTTCTGTGCAGGGCGAGTGGGATGCTCCTGTGTAGCCTGATTCTCAACCAGCAGGTCTGTCTGTGCTCCCACTCGCACTATGAATAGTGCAGACCCATCTACATTCAGCCCTCGTTTGTGGTGGTCGTCAACGCTCCGTATTCGGCAGCCCTGTTTGTTTCTCCTTTGCTCATATACATAATCATTAGGGAAAATATCTTTCTGCTGACAAATGAGTTGCTCGTAAATGTGAGAAGGTGCCAAGTACCCAGCATTGCATTCATTTCTCATCACTGCTCAGAATTGCTTTCTCTTCATCTACTTCTCATTCCCCGAGCCCTGATAGGTTTGTCGCTTAGTTAGCATGGTTGATGGTGCATTTAGCCCAGTGTGTAATTTTATTTCCGATTTCCATTTTATCGTTTTGCTTTTAGTTTGAAATGACGGACCCTATATGTGCGGATGGCATCCTCCTAATGGTCCTCAGGGTAATGATGGTTGAAATAGGCTTCTAACCAGAGGCTGAGAGCTCTGGCCCTATGGGGACATTCACTTTGACTATTTTCATTGTCAAGATGAAGTGTTCACCCACCGTGTCTATGGATATAAAAGGAACACTCATAAGGAACACATATTTTGCCGCTTTGAACATTCGAAAAGAAGAAGAAAAGCTATATTTTAGTTGGATAGATGAAAACAAGTCACATTTTCTCTTCAGGTGCTCTTGAAGTTACTGAATAGCTGCATCCCCCCGCCCCCCCAGTTCTGTGCTTAAAAGGAACTTGAAGGCTTTAGATGATAGATTTTAGGCTGTTGTTGTGCCACCTTAACAACAGTTATTTGTCTGAAGTGTCTCATATCGCAGAGCACCTTCCGCTACTGTTGATGTCAAAGAATGGGTCGAGCAATGCCGTGCTTCAGGAAACAACAGTTAAGTCAACCCCCCCACCCCACTGACTCATTTACAACATATGGGACTCTGTTTGGCCCTGCACCTGAGAGCGGCACTGGTCTGTGGCACCTCATATTTCATTTTGATAATGGCTGGTTACCCGTGGCAACTGTGCTGCCAGGGAGAGTCTTGCCTCTTGAAGGGCATGGGAGGAAAAAGGAGGTAGGTGGGTTATGGGGATGTGCAATTCAAGGTTTTTATTTTTTTTTCTCCCTCTCAGCATCTCAACCCTTTGCTGTCTGGTTGTGTTGTAACCAGCGAAGGGTGTGGGACCCCTGGGGAGTGAATTATTACCTGTCAGCCCTGCAAGCTCCCTGCCATCCATAATCCCAGCCTTACACAGCACAGGCCAGTTCGGGCTATCTGCTGAGACCACTGGGCCTTGGCCTCGAGGCCTGGCCCTGTTAAGGCCACAGCTGGTGAAAAATCACATTAACATGTTGCATTAGGTGTAACAAATGCATAGCCTCATGCCTTATGCAGCATGGCATGTGGCTTTTCAATCATTGCTGTTACTGCATGTAGATTTCGTCCCCCCCAGCTTCTCATCATCTTTACCTTAGACATAAGTTTTTCATTTTGCTGAGTTGGTGCTGTGAATCTCCCTGGTATATTAGTGTACCTTATTTTGCAAGTGATTTTATAGATTGCCTTTGGCCCAGATGTAATAGATGGTGGCAGTTTTGTTGCATCTGCTTTCCTGTTATTGGTGCAGACTGCAGTCATCCTTCCCAATGGTGCAATTTGAAGCTTTTGCAGAATTGTAATTACATTTGATTCCAAAAACAGGCGTGCAGCACTATCCCTCCTGTGGTCCTGGTGTGGGTTTATCATACACTGGAAATTACAGTAAGGCTGATGAGCGTGTAAATTATGGGAGGAGAACTTCAGAGTTCAACCAAAGGCTGGAGAGGTGAGATAGAAAAAGAGGCAGGACGGACCACAAAATGGACAAGTGACAGCCCTCGGTCTGTCCATCCAGACTGACTGTCTTTTTGTGGTTTCGCCAGACTTCTTCTGAAACATTAACCCCTTGTCAAACATGGGCTCGGGTTTTGGCTGCCAACCCACTAAGGCCACAGGCTGGGAGCAGGGACACTTCATGGCTGTTTGGTTATGTGCTTCATGGAGAACAGTGGATGGACTCCAACAATCAGAGGGAGCACACAACCCAAATTATACAAAATCAGTAGATTCCCCATGATTTATATTTCTCTTGTCAAGGGGGTCTACTTGCTGCTAGAAGCATACTTAATAATATTTATATCTAAACTGTAGGGTGATTTTAATGTTGTGTTTTGAAAGAACAAGCCTTGAGTTTGAGTAAAACTTGGTTACTTATGTTTTAGTCTTCAACTCCTCAAGCCAACACTCCTTATTAGAGAGAGGTTGAACCATTCTATATGTATCCAGTCATGCGACATGGAAGATGCACAGTCTGCCCACTAGGTAGCATTGAAGCAATCCTTTTATAGCCACTAAATCCTTCCTTATCTATTGCAACCTGGTTGCATACAAACAGCCCATTTGTTCTTTATTAAGGTTAGTCACAGTCTCACATGTTAAATTACTGTTATTCCATTTAGCTGCTCCAAGGAATGGCATTTATAGAGTGTTCCGACTAATGATAAATTCACAGCTGCGTTTCCCGTTCAGCTAAGGGAAACCTGACAAAAAAAAAAAAAAAATTATAATTTTAGGTATTTAAGTAAATTCATTTTGCATCTTTGCATTATTAGAGGCCATCTGTGCTTTTTGGTAGGTTTCCGTCGTTGGATTTTTCGCTGCATACCAGAGCCTGTTTTCCTAAAACAAAATTAACAAAGAAAAAGCAGACTTGACTTCCATCTAAATGCCGTTTAATCTTTCTTGTCAATACATTTGTGCTCCTGGAGATTTTTTTCACATAACACTGAAATGTTTCCTTGTGTTTCACTTGCATTTTAGATAATAGACCCCCCCAAAAAAATGAGATGACATGTAAACCATTTAAAGGTGAAATAACCTAAAAGGCATTGTAAATGTTTTTAATGACTTTCTTAATGACCATTAGAGGCTGTAATTGCTTCAGTTGTTTTCTATCTTTTGCCTTTTGTTTTCCATGCTTTTCATCTTATTTGTATAATGTGTGTATTTGTCTTTTATGTAAGCAGCACTGTATGAAGGAAATTCTATTACATACAACTTTTTTCACAGCATATTGGTTTCAGTGCATCATGCTTTTTTTAGCGCTCATTTCCATCCTTATTGCTGAGTGTTTTTCTGCGCTTCGTTTCACTGAGATTGGCTCTCAATCAAACGGCGTGGGCGGCACAGTAACCATCCTTTTCTTGGATTTTCAATTTGTGAAGTTTTCTTTTCTCTTAGTGAAGTTATTTTCATTGCCAGTTCAGCGAGTGTGGCTATCACAACTTTGTACTAACAACCCAGTTACTCTCCTACCCCTCTCCCCCCAAACAAACTGCTGTTGCATTTGGAGGAAATGTAGCCATCCATCTTAGTGCCACAGGTCATCTATCTAACAGAACCTAGCAGACACCAGCAGCCTTTTACCACCTTCTTTAATTTGGTGCATTCTCTCCGAATGAACATTTAGCCAAGCTGTTTGTTTTCTTTATTTG